GTTTTAATTAAGCAAAAATTAATCATATGTTATGTATTTCTGCAAACTTTGGGGCGGAAGAGGCGGTCGTTTGTTTAATAACTTTTGTTTTGCCTTTCGATGTCTCGCCTTCGCAACTGCTGTTACTCTTATTACTCTTTCGCCGTCGCGGTTGATATCTATTGAAATGATTGTATGATTTATGTAAAATCATCTCACATTTTATATATTTAATTACTTGTAGTCTGGGTGTTGGCGCTTATGGATGACTCGCAGTTTCTCTGCCTCCTCCACAAACGGCTTCTTATCTTCGTCTCCCAATACTCTATATTTTTAATGTTTATAACTATTATTAATTCAGTTTAAATTTACGTTATTACAAAAATTGTTATAATTAAAACTATAAATATTGTATAGTTAGTAACTTTGTCAAATTTATTTAATTCTTTAGTCATACGATTATTAAATTCTTTAATTATTAGTTAAAATATAGTTTTTAATCTACTACAGTATTTATGGTATTCAGATTCTTACATTTCATTTATAATTTTTACAAATGTTTATTTAACCATAAAATATAACTATTATTAGGTAGGACCACAGTAGGCCAATAAAATCAAGCATTTATATCATCGAATTAAAAGCACTTTAAATTTTATGACTTTGTTTTCATTTAATTTATAAATTATCTCTAATTTATTGATAAAAAATTCATGGAAAATTGCAATTACTATTGGAAAAGAATTATTTTAATATATTAAACTAATATATATTTACAAATCAACAAATTTTTATAATATTAAATCATTTAAGAATATATATTTAATAATAACATAATTAAACTGTAAATAATTTATTTAAAAGTATATGTTAGTTTAAAATCTATAAAAAGCTACAAAGTATATTGTAGATGCTAAAAGATTATTAAAAATTAATTTAAATATCACATTTGCAAGAATTTATATTAACAAAGATTTATAACAAAATATAATTTAAATTATTTAATGTAAATTTAAACAAAAGCAAACTCAACAACTAATTTGTAATTATTTGTGTTAAGTTGTACTTATTTAACACAAACAAATCTGTAATTTTTGAGTACTAAGTATGCAGTCACGTAGTGTGAGATATGAGACGTTTTTAATTAAATATTTGGCACCAAAACAATCATTTAGTAGATTAAAAGTAAGTTATCAAACATTGAAAGCAGAGAATGTGAGAAAAATTTAAAATAAATTATCTAAAAAATGGGCTAAAAATTAATCTAAATTTATTTTTTAGATATGCCTCAAAGGTTTTGATTAGAAAATTACAAATAAAAGGCATAAATAAATAAATTTTCTAAATATTCAGATTCGAAATATTTCGTAAATATTCAGAAACTATTCAAAATTCTGATTAATCTAAATTGTTTTTTGAGACTAAAATGAAATCCATTGATGTTTTATAATCAAGGTTTTATATTTCTTATTGCACAGTAAGTTCACAATCAATGTAATTAATATTGATAATTGTAATCATTTAAAAACACAAATTTATTTATTTTATAACATTTA